CATGTATCAGTACGTAGTTTTTATCATTATATGTCTTTGTACAATAAATATTAAATTTTATTAATAAAATATTTATTATAAAATATTCATTTCATCCAAATTCTTTTTATTTACAAATGGTATGCAAGAAAAATCAATGTGTCGCTTATATCCAATATTGCGTGAGTACTCAGGAGCCTTAAAATATTTATTTAGAATTAAGAAATTACAAATTATTAATTATTCATCGTAAAAATATTCACAATGAAATAAAAGCACACAGTTTGTTAGCAAAATTATAATTTATTGTCTCATTTTCTTTGAAGAATTTTTATGTAACAATAGACTACATATATATATTATGGTAGATACTTTCAGTATGATTTTATAATACAGGGTGGAGCAATATTAGCTATTACCATACCTGAAACATTGCTCCTAATTGAGGTGTTCTAATTAGGATGCCACTGGCATTATTCACATCCAAACGCCGCAGCCGCGTAAAAAAGGCATTTCAAATAATGCAATATACATACATATTACATTATTATGTAACGTTTGCATGAACATCAAAAAGCGTTCATTCGATGTCGGTGTACGATTAAGGTATGTTAGAATATAATTATACAAGTATATGCATCGGTTTTTTTCTGTACATGATCATTTACAATGTGTTATAATAGAATCATAGCGAACGTAGAAAATTTCACAAGAGCTATGATATATTATTTCGGTATTCCATTCTTCAAATAATGTCTTAAAGGCAATATCTCATTTAATGACATTCTTTTTATCCGCAATATTTTATTAATCGAATTACGTATCATAAGGAATACATTAACGAAACATTAAATGTCGGCAACGCACATATTGCAGTACGTATGTTATGCAGAGTGTTCTATTTTAATCAATCTAATTACATTTTCCGAAATTATTAATGATACAAAAAAAGTTTCAAATAAAAGTGGAACAGTTTCAAGGAAAACATATTTTGGTTACGATTTTTTTTTCGATGGAGACGCCGAAATTGAGGATATAAAAGTCATCTTCACTTCACATTCCTATAGAAGAAAAAAAAATAACGTGACCAAAATATATTTTCCTCGAGGCTGTTCCATTTTTATCTAAAATCATCTTTTTGTACTATTAATAATTTAGGAGAAAATTAACTGGATTAAACTGAGATACTCTGTACGAAGATTATTGAAAAGTATAATTGTTTGTATAAATTAGATGATATTTTTTGACGGAATAAATATAATCACATGAAAAAATAAAAAGTAGAAATAAAATGACAGACTCATAAAAATGTATTGAACATGGATATATTGCAGAGAAAACGTATTTGATTGAAGGTTAATTATACGGCAAGCTGTACTGTTGTAATAAAATATTCCGTCTCTGTAAGTATATCTAATATAATTCAATGATTTAAGAAAATTAAAATCAATTGTTTTAATCGCTGAGAATACAATAAAATGTTATTTTATATAATAAATATTGCACTTTAACTGATATTTGGAAAATTATAATCTATAAATTATCAATATATTGATAATTAGAAGTAGATGATATAACTTTGATGGCCGAACAATTATTATTATCAAATTGTACGTTTTACTTTCATAAAGTCTCAAATATAGAGAATATTAGAGAACGCTAATTACTGTTTACTTTATGCGCGAGTTTCCTATAATCTATTCGATATAAATTTTATATATGTAGCAACACACATTTTTTATTTACGCCATCCTTATCCCTATCACTATTCTCTCGTATGTAACTTTCTTCGTTTACATATCACGCAGTCTGATTAAATTTTTTTAATAAAAAAAAGTACGTACATTCGATGATACCGTTCAATAACTTATTCATTTTAACCTTGATTGTTCGCCTGTTATTCCCTTGCATTAAAAATCACATTTAAGCACCTACATGCGTTTATTATACGGTAAATGATAAGTATTCATTATGTATATGAGTGCAATCTGGATTTTCGAAGAATCAATCAAGTTCATTAATCCTCTATATTTGATTGTTGATGTATGTTTTATTTCAAACTTTTCGTTTTTCACATATTAATAGAGAGTAATGTCCGTAACTTATGCATTTCGTATTATAAATATATAAATGTACATTCTCTTTTCAAGTGTAAAAATTCGATACCTAATATCGATTATAGAAAAGTTGTTAATATATTCTATAACGAAATGACTGTGACGAGAATTTATTGTCTTTCTGATATAATAATGGCAGATATATCAAAGTCTTAATAAAACTTTGATTACACTCATACACCAGTGAATAATAGGATTTATTTTCTATACAAAACGCAGAACTTTATTATCGTATTATAAATATGAATAAATCAGCACGTGGCAGTGAAAAATTATAACTATGTACTTGATCGTTATCAACACATTTTCCTTTCAGTCACTGTATCAGTTACTCAAAGTCGTTTTAGCTGATTCGCAAAAAGAAGATACCGCGAAGCGGTTGATTACATGAAACAGAATCAGGAGAAATAGGAAAGACATGAGAAGCTTAATTGCTATATCCTTCTTGTATTTACATTGCAACTGATAGTAAATAAAGAATTCTAGATGAGAATAATGCATAAATCTGAAATTCTGTCGCTTTTAAAATAATGATTTGTTACTTGCGAATTGAATTGTATCTACTTGTTTTGTACAAATAAAGTGGTATAAAACGTTATAGTTATTATAAAATATCGATAGCAATATATTAGTGCAGATAGACTCTGTATATCTATGGATATAAAATTGTTTTGTTGCTCGTTTAGCAATAGTTACTTTCGTATCTTTCATGTTACCTCAGGTCATTCATGATAAACCATCAAAGGAGTACATGCATTTTAAATACGTTTTACTTTTCGATTTTTGCGTATATGCAGAATGCTTCGCCAAACCAAATTGCTTCAATCGAAAAGTTGCGTCTTTAACATATTATACAATATTTCGACAACGTTTGATTAGCTGTGATAACAGATTTGCTTTTGATCCTTCATATTTCTAATGTTCTCAAAATATTAGGTATGAAAAATTTAACGTACATATTTGGCTTTAAATACGACATTTACATCAATGCTATAACCGCTCGTAAGTGATACGAATTCGCGGTATATTTCTTAGATGCAAATAGAAACCTTCTCTTCAATATCTTTCGAGGTCACCGCGTGTAGGAAGTCTATCAGTTCGATCACTGCAAAATAAAAATCATAAGATTAATAGATAAACGTAATCAATAATAATAATAAGACGTAAAACTTTCATAAAAATTTTTCTTAGAATTCTTCACATAATTTTTCACAACTTTTATGTAAATTTTAGAATTTTTTAGTTCTGTATAATTTTATTTTTAAAGAATTTTTCAGATTTTTTTTTTATGTGAATTGGAACATTTTTCAAAAAATGCTAAGAAAATCTACATTTCTAGAATTTTTCATATATATAAATTCTGAAATATTTTAAGACTTCTAAAATTTTTCATTCTGATTTCTGAAAGAAACTTGTAAAATCGTAAAAGAGTTTAAGGCATTTTTTTCAGAAATCTTCGTGAACTTAACTTTTACCGAACGAGAAATCCACTACAGTGGTGCTGATACAATACATTGTATTTCTTACCTCTATATTTTAAGATAAGAAATACAATAAAAAATAATGAATCATAACAAATCTTATTATTTAAGAAAAAGTTCGTTTAATTTATCTTGATAAAAGTTTATCAAGATTTCAAAAATAGATTTTTGTCTTCTAAAAGTTAAAATATGATAAATTCTTAAAAATATTGTGAGATATTATAAGAATTTTGTTCAGTATTTAAAAACAAGTTTACATATTATGCATTAGTAATGACTGAATGTCGAGTACATTAATATTTGTAACAGAAAAAAGAAATGATGGAAAAGTGACGTACCGTAATTTCGCCGTGTTACTTCCAACGTCGATGTTAAGCATTAAATAATTTACAAATTTATTAGCTGTACATATTATGCAAACTCGCAGAAATACACACCCTTTAAAGAATACTGTACATTTGCAGCGTGATTTGATAATAACATGATTTGGTCTAAAGGGAAATGTGTATTTCCGACAAGTGAAATCGATAATGTTCTATTCATTTAGCTTAACAAACCGTTGAGAACGTTAACTGCGTCTACGCATAACAGCGTGAAAAGTACACTTTGTTCCTTAATGTCCCTAGTCAAAGCGATGAGATTTTGAAGTATAATTAATAATGAATAACTCGTCATATCGTACGCGGCAAGATTGGACGCGGGTTTCGGATGAATAATGTTCACCGGCGGCGGTGGTACAAATGCATCGAATCCGTCCGTATCCGCATCTGTGAATACCAGCGAAGATGGTATCCATCTTACTCTGAGCAGCATGCGAAATAAATATCCAATGACGTTAGTCAGTTCAAACGTCACCACATATAATTTATATTCATATTTTTAATGAATTGTAGAAATTATTTGAACAATTAATATATTGTTTGAATAATTTCTACTTTCTCTAAATTCTTTGAAGAGAAATTTCACTCTAAAGAGTAAAAAGTGAACCAATCTTAAGAGTGACTCAATTTAAAATCTTTAAGAATAAAATTTCATTTTTTAGAATGAGATTCATCTAAAAATTTTATAAAATACAATTCATTAGATTACTGGCAAGTAATTAAAAATCAAATTTTATGTATCATTTGTTGAGTTAAGTATTACGTTTGTTACAATCTAAACTATTAAATTTACTAATAAAAATCTAAAGATCTGTAAGAAGAAATTAGCTTCAAATAGTAGAAATAATTTTTTTAATATAAAAAAAAATACTGTGAAATTACAAATTTGGAGAAAAAATGTTTTTTTTTAATTCTGGTGCAATGTTTACCTGGTGCATGGTGAGACATTTATTCCCCTGATGGCCTTCTCGCCGATATCGATAGCTCCTGAGTCCTGCACCTCCAGCGTGTAAATGCAACCGGAGAATCCGTCGTGGTATTTACCGTAAGTCATTGCATAATCAGGTAAACCACCCAAGTAAACGTTACCCCTTGCATCAAGAATTTGCTGAAGTCCGTCACTGACACCGCTTTCAGTATGTTCGCCATTCAGTTCGATGCTACCGTCGCTTCTTTGACGTTTTAGGATTATCCTGTGCCGTTCCCCATCATCGACGCGCTGGGCCGTGATGCGAATTACAGCGGGACCAGAGCCCAAGTTGTATTGATACTCCACGTATCTGGAAACACAAAAATATAAATATACAAAGATTCAAAATGTCTTAAAATTAGAATAGTGGACGGTTCTTCTGCCTTTTAATTAAAAAAAATTTAGTTCTTTAAACGCATCGTGAGAATACCTCAATTCAAAATTTTAAATAGAAAATGCAATTTTTAATTCAATTGAATTTAAAAAAATAGTGAAATAGACTATAATTGCTATTAAAGTACGCTCGGTATTGCTTACCCATCTACTACAGCAACAGCGATGTAATCATCGGCAGTTAGATCGTTCGGCGTTTGACCATGCCACATGATCAATCCGTAACTCTTATTAGTGCTGATCTCAAGACCGAAAACCTCACGCTCTTCTTCGTGAATCATAACAGATCTGTCTAGTTCCAGCCAGCCGTCTCCTCTGAAGGCAACATCATACGTAATCTCTGCTACTATAAATATATAATCACATTATTCATAATTATTTTATTTCTATTTTTTAATTATTTTATTATACATTTTAAATATACAATTCTAATATAATATAATTAAATCATATTTAACTGTTTGTATGTTTTAATTTAACAGATAGAAGGACTCTTCATATATAAAATAAATAACAATAAATACAGGGCGGAGTAAGAGTCAAACATATTTTAATTTGTAACACAATTAAAAAGAATAAATTACAAATAAAGAAAAGAAGAATAAAGAAAACAGTTTAAATTCAAATATAAAACATTACATTTCTTTATTTATAATTTATTCTTTTTAATTGTGTTACAAATTAAAATGTGTTCGACTCTTACTTCGCCCTATATTTATTGTTATTTATGTTTTAATTATTATAGATACTTTTTATAACGTATCTTATATAAAGAGATCTATATATACAAGCGTTACGAGAAATAATTTTCATCTTTTTTTTTACGTACACATATCTTTAAAAATGTAGGAAATTAATTTTTTTTGCATAATTAATTATAATTTAGATATAATAAATAGTATACATTTTTTTCTCTCTCTCATACTCACACTTTTCGCAATTTTGCCCGTTGTAACCGAGGCGACAATCGCATTTGTAGGAGTCATGGAGATCTGTACAAGTACCACCGTTTCTACATGGGGTGAGAAATTCACATTGTTTTTGCATCTTCTCGCAGTTTCTGCCTGCGTATCCATATTCGCATGTACACGAATAATCATCGTTCAAATTTTGACACTGGCCATGGATGCAAGGATTCGATGAACAAGGATAGTACAGCGTTGTTGGCGATTGCGTGGATGCTGGAGTAGTGATAATGGTATGAATCATTGTTTGATTCGGGTGAGGCTCTGAACAGTCCTCGATATTAGCCGCGTCGATTGATGACTTCATTATATCCAAACTGACTGACGAAACTTCGAGCTATAACATAATTTAACAAATATCCATTAAAAATGGAGTTTCTTCTTTTTTATTGCGATAAACTTTTGTTAATTATTATATATTTTCATCTTATTGTAATACTTTATGTTAGTCCTTATAAATACAGCTTTTTTCTTAAAGATTTTATTGGAAAGTCCTCATTAATTTAATTAGATAAAGTAACTAAATATATTAAGTATCGGATTTTGGCAAAAATTTTTCCTAAAATTTATCATATAATTTTTAACAATTTTTATAAGTATATATTTCTAAATTTTTTATAATTTTTATTTTATATTTTATTATTTTATAATTTTTTTTTTCTCTCTAGGTATATCTTTTCTAAAATTCTTTATATGCATACAGGGTATCTCGTAAGATGGGTCGAGGCCACATTGGGGGCGGAGAATGGATCAAAGGGAACAAAAAATTCTTATACTATTTTGAGATATTTGCTATAGTTTTCGAATTAGAAAAGAAAACGTCTAAGCCAATATACGGTTAAGTCGCGCCGCGCGAATTTGTAGGACGGCCCACACTCGAGCGGCAGCGCCGGCGGTGCACAAGGAGGGGGAAGAAGCGAAACAATAGGACCACCATGCCAGGCTGTGCCAGGCAATGAGCGCTTGTTTTCCCTCTCTGCGCACCGCTGCCGCTGCAGCTCGAGTGTGGGCCGTCCTACGAATCGGCGCAGCTTAACCGTATATTGGCTTAGACATTTCCTTTTCTAATTCGAAAATTATAGCAAGTATGTCAAAATAGTATAAAAATTGTTTGTTTCTTTTGATCCATTCTCCACTCCCAATGTAGCCCATCTTACTAGACACCCTGTATACAATATAAATTCTGAAGTATTCTAGGATCTTCATCGTATAATTTCCATAAAAAAAAAAATAGATAAAATCTGAAGATTAAGGCATTTTTCAAAAAGCTCTATAAATTTAAAACAAAAAAATATTACGAATATTATGATTTTTTTATTAAAGTTGTTATTAAATAATAATACTAGACAGAGAGCTAATTACGGAGTTTGATATTTAATTAAATAATCAATAATTTTGCTTACTTCGCTTATGCATCCACGAAAGCTACGATCAACACCGGCGTTTCGATTGATCGTGATTCTTCTGTGATCAACCCCTCCGATATAAAGAGGCGTATTTAGGTTCATAGTTCTCGCAGCTCCGAGTGACTTGCCCTCCACAAATGGCTCACCATTTACCGACAGTTTCGCATCCTTGAAATCTCGATTCACTGTCACATGCGCCCATACACCAGGTTGAATAGGATGAGGCGATTTTATTGTCGCTATTCCAGAGCCGATATCGAAGCGAAATTCGACGTGCCTATCCTTTATCACGAGTGCTGCAAAATCTCCGAGGCCTTCGTCATTTTGAGAACAATACATCAAGATTCCGTCTCCAGAGTCCGCCGGATTAAAACTCATGGCTACCTTAAGCCTAGAATTAAGTATAGAAAAGGTAAGAAAAATATATTATTTTATATTTTCAAAGGATCTTAAGCAATGCCGTGTGTTAGTTTTTCATTTAGTTTGTTTATTATAAAACTCAATTTGCACATTTTTAGTTTTTATCCTCCTTTACGTAAAATATTTATGTAAATAACTCAATTATTCTTTTTACTTTATACTGTTTACAAAAAAAGAAAGCTAACTGAAATTAATGGCAATCAAATCTGTTACGACTTGCACACGAAAGCACACGTGCAAAAAGATTGAAAAGAACATAGCAGAAAAGGATTTATACATACGTATATGTACATAAACATTTATAGAAGCTCATTTAGGTAAACTATAAAAACAAATATATAAATAATGTTTTTGTCTTAAAACTTACCTCTTTGTTTTATATTTTTTTTTAGCGTTTTACGACATGCAAGGTGATGAAATTGAATAAAACGTTAAATTAACGTATGTGGCTTATTACATTAACTTCTGTTTATTTGCTTTAAAAATATTTATTCGTATAGCATGAGTCTGCTGAGTATATAAACGATCTTTCGTACGTGAAACATCTCTTTCTTTTAATACATATATATATATCTATATATATATATAGATTCTTAGATATATAAGTACAAACATTTTACATATGCTGTCATATATAACTGTCATATACACGTATGTGATTGTTACGACTTTGACGTTTTCTAAGCTTGAGTGGGGACTAACTGTTAAATGCGACTGATTTGGCAGTGACTTCACGTATTACTTTTAATAATTAATAATGACTAAAGTGACGCGTTAAATGTATTAATTAAGAAGCTGTACAAAACGTATTAATTACTAATTCGTAAATATATATATATTGACTGTTGTTCTAACGTTACAGCACCATGTCCATTACAAGGAACTACGCACTATGCAGGCTCGTTACAAACTACCTATTAAGAATTCATTGTTTATTCTTTTTACTATCATAACCATCGCCACTACGCGTAAAGAAAAGTAGGCAGTGAAAAATTGGCACAAAAATAAATCGAACTGACTAATTTTTTCGGATACAGGCATAAACATATCTTAAAAATTTTAGATAGCTCATTATGTACGGTGATTTTTATTAGACGGAGGGAAAAGTTTATTGTTGTGATTGGATAAGTAATGATTCTCTGAGTGCGTAAAATTGGTGCTAGGTCTAGCTAATGTTTTGTGTGGTGCAAATTATTGTGGTGATGTGGCCTTGATCGTGGTTTCCTAATTTGTGCGTTGCGTAATCGTGATCGACTGTGTGTAGTGGTCGAACTCTCTCTTTCCCTGAAAAGAATTTTAGTAATTAGGATGCTTGAGGATGTTCATATGCACTGACAATGAGATTAGTACCTATATTCCAATTATAGTTAAATCTGTTAGTTCGTCAAAGGCGTAAAGATAGATTTTTATAATATATGTTTATATTTATAATATTCTTATATCTAGATAAAGATTTTTTCGTGTTCCAAAAATTTCAGTAGAATACAAAATTTATTAAATACAATTTATTTTTAACTGTACAATTGTTATTAATCATTAATGATATTCGAAACTGCTCACATCTTGTAATATTTTGAAGAATAATTTTCCAGAGAGTGTCTTATAATTATTATTTCATTCATTTTTCGCAGGTGAACTATATACAAATAATCAAAAAAATTCCAAATAAAATGAATATGAGACACAATCACCGTGACAATATGTTCCATCATGTGCGCTTCTAACATCGACTAAGTGCAATTAAGAAATAATTCGTGCACGTGCGTTCGATCGAGCAAAGGTACTTACCGTCTAAGAGCTTTTGGAGTCTCGTGAGCGATGAAAGCTCTGTCGTCATGGAAAGCCGGATCGTAGATGTTTACCGAATGCTCGCATCTTGGTCCCGTCTTCCCGATTGGACAGTAACAATGGAAGCCGCCGACTTCTTCATCAATGCACTCACCTTCTCCGCAAGCACCTAACATCATCATTTAATGTGTTTAGTATTACAATATCTTATTGCTTAAAAACTTTAAATTGTGGAGCAATAAAATATTAAGATTTAAAAAAAATAATATTTAATACACATATATATTATGCATGCAATTTTTAAGATTAATAATTACAACTATTACAAAATAGATCATAATTAATATTGATAGACATCATTGTAGTCACAGCAAACTGGACAAAAAGTATAAATTAAAATGTGATAAATTATCATACCTGGATAGCAGGATTGTCCGATATTGTCGCAATGTTTGCCGCTGAAACCGGCTCGACATAGACATGTGTAGCCGTTTTTCGTGGCTGCTTCCTGACACACACCACCATTGTTGCAGGGATTCTCGGCGCAGGTTTCGCAAGTTGTAATGCCCACACTGTCAGTCTGATCGCCAATCAGATCGACCTGTTTCTCTCCGAGGACTAGTCGGCTGATGCACCCGACGAAACCAGTGTTCGCCTCGGCTTGCACGTTGATTCTGCTGTAGCTGGGCACTCCGCCGATGTAAAGAGGTTCTTTAAGATCGAGACCTTGGCGTCTGCCTAAAGCGACCATCTTGTAAGGGCCTTCGCCGTCCACCAGCATTGTCCCTTCCTTTCGATTGCGTTGAATCTTAATGGTGTGCCACTCGCTCAAGGTGACAGGCTTATCCGCGCGAATGACAGCTGGTCCAGAACCGAGATTGAATCTGTTAAGAAATTCGTTGTATATATTCGTTAATAATGCGCGTTTAGGAAATTATCCACTTTTTATTACAATTTCTATGCTAAATTTAATGTCGATTATTTTTAAATTAAAAATAATTTAAAATTATTTTTAATCATATAATTAAGTTTATATAATTAAGTCAAAATTTTATTTAGATAAAGCTTCAGATAAAAGTCAATTGACTCCATGCTTATTGAAACTCTACAAGTAAAATAAAAGACGCTACTCGTGACACGTTTCGTATATATTTATTAAGATTTTGTTTTATTTACTTGAATTGTGGATATCCGTTATTTAGAGATAAAATGATAAAGTCGCCGTCACCGTGACCAGATTCGTCGTTGTACAACAGAATGCCATCGTAACTTTCCGGTTTGAAAGAGATTTCAATGTTGAACTTGAGGTAGGAGTCAGGTAGAGGAGGGAAAGCGATGTAACTTTCAGGTGCCTGACTAAAATTAGGCACAACTCCTGTTACAACTAGCACCGTAGGTATTTCGACTCGCGATTCTTCATTATTTCCGGAGCAAATGTACGTTCCAGCGTCTTCAGCCTTTACATTAGTTAATTTTAATTTGTTCTGCAAAATAAAAAATATATATCAAATTATCGCGAATGACATAAAACATTTTACTAAAATAATATAACATTTACAAAAATTCAATTTAATACTGGAAATTATTTATTTTGAGTATTAAAAGCACAATAATATTTTTAATACTCAAAATAAGTAATACTACTTTCCATTTTTAAATTTCTATAAGGAAATTATCCTAGGATATTAAATTCCTGATTAGATAGAAATAGGTTTATGATACGTATGCATTTTAAGTACCTCGTAAGTCTGACTGTCACGTGGCAGAAGTCCGCCGAGTTTGTTCCACTGGAATTGTATTGGCGGATCGAGATCTAACCGGCAATCCATTTCCAGACTTGATCCGTACGGCGCCAATTTGGTTTCAATCGCTGGTTCATCGAGGATTCCGCCTGGAAGGTCATAAAATCCTTTGTCCATAATAATTTTCATAATAAAATTAATTATTCGTTAGCTTTATACTTACATAAAACGTATGCAGTTTGAGTGGGCATTGGCAAAAAGTAGATATTTGTGCATTAAAGGAGATATATATATAGAAGAATATACGTGTAATCTTTCACGTAAATACTTCATTATCTATGTTTGCCACATATATATATTAATTGTTTGTCTATTAATTACCGTGGACGATCAAATTGAAGTCCTTCGCGAGTAGGCCTTCGGGTGTGTCAACTGTGCATCTGTAGGGTCCGCTATCGCTAACGACTACATTAGTTAGCCTCAAGACGTTGCCGTACTCCTGTGCGTTTGCTGGTAGGCTCACATGATTCGGTCTCGTCCAGCGATAACGTGGATTGCGTGTTCCAGTGTATGTGCAATGTATATCAACGGTGTCGCCGATGTTTATTGGATCTTGAGACACCTCGATGCTTACTGAAGGCACTGCAGCAGCTAGAATCGAATTATGCATGTTGGCTATATCTGTTAAGATTGATCGTAGAATTAGGAAATGTATATCCTGTTTTGCACATCGTAGCATGAAGATACTACAGTCTTATCGATTTCTAAAATGAACTTCGAGATGTATCATTTGCAGCGTTTTATTTGATGTATCTGTATCTAAACTCCTTATATTATGTTTGAAATTCGTCAGGAAAAATTACGTAAATAAAAACAATTATTTCTTGTCGAAGGAATAATTAATATTAGCATTCAAAGATTGTAGAAGAATATTACATAGAGATTTACTCAGAATAAAAGTTTTAACAAAAAATAGCGTCGAATTAAAATCTGAAGTATATGTATGTTGATTCACACGTATTTGCTGCTGACAAGGATGGGATACGGGTGCACTTCTTCCGCATTAGATTCTTCTACATTTTATAAAAAGATAACTGGCGGGAAACTCGTAACATTTTAGAATATCTTTTCATTTGTTTGTACACATTACCGAGCTTGTTTTCGGTCAAAGAGTCTTCATCATAATTTAATTTAATCCGTATCCTTTCCTCATGGGTTCGTACAGTAAGCAAGAAAGAACAGTTCACTACAAGTAGGAGAACTACGGGACATCACACAACACACATATATCTCAAAACAAACCGCGTCGTCTCTGAAGATATTGGCGATAGCGCGCGTTGCGGCAGAAGCGTTCGTCAGTACCGTCGTTGCACTGAACATAGCCGTCGCAAAAGTATTCCATCGGAATGCATTGTAGGCTTCTGCATTGATACTCCCAGTGCCTGCACTGCGATCGGTACACTGGCATGCAATCCGCAAGCAAATTAACTACTAAATCATAACGCGAGCTTTGTAAAAAACCTAAACTTGTGGAAACGTTCATGGAACCACGTTTGTAATATATACTATATATATATATATATAATCTCATCATAGACTAAATTATACAAAAATTCAAGAGACATCTAAACGTTTAAGTTTTTTAAGGAGTCATATTATTCTGACAAAGTCTAAAATTCGAGATTTTTTTAAAGTCAACTATTGCGTAGATTAATTTTTATTTTAGGGATACACAATCTACCCAAATTTGTCCAGAATTAGGAGTTTGAAGCAAAGCAGGATAGCGGGGTAAACCGATATACTATTATTTTTCTTGTCTGCTTGTTGCAATATCTCAATGGTAATTAACTGAATTACATTTTGTGTTCCGAAGAACATATTGCAAACAATAAATGTCATTTTTTCCGAGTTATTGGTGTGATAATGTATAACATGATATTACGTAGTGTTAGTTTTCAATATTCGTTTTGTATTTCCGAAGGTATAATTAATAAGTGTCTTAAATTTAGTATTTTCTACTTTAAACTTTAAATCAATTAAAGATAGTCTAAACTCTTTTTTTTTTCTATTTTAGGTCATCCTTGCCTCTGGAAACCTACCACCTGTCTGATCATGCCGCGGCGGAAGGAATTGTTCCAGTCTAAATTTTTAAAAAATATTTAATATTTAGCAAATTTGTAATTTATATATTATATAATATATCTTTACATTTTTTAAAAATTTATCTACGCAATAGTTGATTACAGAAAATTTTAAATTTCAGATTGTTTGTTGACGTGTTCCCTTTAATGCTTTCGCACGATGTCTTTTGCTGTTTGTATTGTCTGAGAGTATAATTTGTTGCGCGCTTGTTAGTGATATGAGTGATGCGGATTAGTATAAATTTATAAAATAATAGACTTATTTTTAAATTGCTATTGTTTAAATATGTATTATATATATATTTTAATTATTTAAATTTTTGATAAATAATTCCGTACTGTTTCTTTTTTTTTATTAAGGCAAACGTGAAATTGGCATTTTATATTCGTCGCGTCCGGAATGAGAAATTGAAATCTTCAGATGAACCAGAAATCCAAAATGTTCTATTGATGAAAAATCGCTGAGAAATAGCAAAGTATTTTGTAAAAAAGCATTTGGGATTTAATCCTTTCGGGATATTAAAAGTCAGAATAACATTCCCGAAAGAATTAAAGGCAAAAATTAGGATTTTTCAATAGGCGACACATCATTTAGCGTGTGTACTGCGATCTTCAGTAAATGCATTCGAATGAAAGCAAAAATCTGTGAAATGATGCTGAAACGACGAGACTTAGTGAAAATATAGCTGAACTTACGAGAAACGTTGAAATTAATATAATCGCTGGATACACCGCGGCTCGTCTGGATCTGACAGATGTATCTTCCGCTGTCTTCCGGTTTCACTTGCGTCAGCTCCAAGTAATCTTCTCCAATTCGCGCGTTGGTAGGCAACGATAGCCCCTCTCGGCTCCAATGGATCGTCGCACGTTCGCGCACCTCGCAACGTAAGCGTACAGAATTACCAGCATGAGTTACTACGTCTCTTTGTTCAGCGCGGATCCTTGCATTGTCGTAAGGATGTTCTGCAAATCGTAAATATTAATTTATAGTTTGTTGCACTGAACAATCCTCAAATATTTAATAAACACATTTTAGGCTTGACGGATATTTATTATTGTTTTAGCAAATATTAAAAAATTATATTACGTTTTTATTCCAATTAATGTTTTTATGTACGAATATTCTCAGTAATCACCAATTATCAGTAACATAATTATTAGTTACAATTTTCTAATAATATATATAACTGTACTAATATATAACTCTAATATAATACATATTATGTTACAGTTATATTAGTGAATGAAGAATTATAACTAATAGTTAAGTTATTGTTAATTGTTTGCTGGATTTCACATAAAAAAAAATATTTTTTTAAAGATATAGTATATAATTAAGTTATATATTTTTTCTAAGATTTTTCTTTTAATATTAAATAATTTTTTTTACATAAATGTAATTATTTAAGAGAAAATAAAAAACAAATTTTATACATTGCAAATTTAAAAATCTGATTATTAACTAACCATTAACTAAAACTTCTGCTACCGCTTCCGCCGTTCCTGCTGCGTTCGTTGCTTTGCACACGTATTTGCCAGCGTCGGAATATGTGATGCCATGGAATTGCAAGATGCCACCGCTGTCCGATACAGAATATGGTAACGGACGTCCTATGGCTTTCCACTCGATGTGCAGAGGTTCATCTCCTGTAGCGGTGCAAATTATAGATGGATTTTCTCCAGGTCCTACTGTCTGGCGCGTTGGATTTAATTCAATTCTTGGTGGAGCTAAAATCGAAGAAAAAATTAATTAATCTTTATGCAGTTTTTCTTAAAGAAACTGTTAAAGAAAAATCGATTTCAAATTTACTTATTCTATATGGTTTGAATCTTGCAGTTTGTTTGTACATTAATTTGATGCGTCTTATATTCGTCTCATACTCACATATAATTTCAAGATGAGATTTCGCCCGGAAGAGTACCGTGCCGGCAGGATCCAAGCCCAAACAGATGTACTCTCCAGCAGCGTTTCTATCAACAGTTGGGATACTTAACACTCCATTGTGCACTGTGCTACCTTCGGGGAGAGAACGATGATCGCTTCTCTTCCAGTCCAGATAGATGTGGTCTCCATCTGGTCCGAAGACCTGACAACGCATCTCCACTTTGCCACCGTCCGGGATTCTCAAGTAGTCTTTGGGAATCAATACTCCTCCCTCTGTTTGATTCGGGTCCCTCTGTAAATCATTTTTCGTTAAAAACATGTCATTGAGGCGACAAAATTATAATACTTACAGAATCAGGTTGTGGTCGCTGTCGATCATCGTCGCATGGAATATCGCCTCTGTCGCCAGTGCAAGGCACATAATCGTCATCATCTTCAATGCGGATCTGGACACGCTCTTCGGCTATTCCTACGGCGTTCGTAGCTGTGCAAGTGTAGGATCCTTCATCGTCGGGTGAAACAGAGAATATCTCGTAAACGGCACTTAAAGGAGTAGCCGCTGTTCTGCTATATGTGTCCCTGTAAATCATAATAATGTCACAAAATTATTATGTGATCTAATAATAATTAGCATTGATACAACCAAGTTAAATCATAATTTAAGCTTAATTTTTAAATGCTTAATAATTTATTTATTTTCATAATATTTATTTTCATAATATAATTTATATATAATGTAATAAAATTTTCATTTGTTGCCTAGACACTGCAAAATTGTATTTCAATAATGTAAAAATTTATACTTTAAAATTAATAGTTAAGGTAATTAAAAATTAATTCCTGCAATTGTTATTAACTCATAAGACTGTACGATAATGAAGTGAACTTACTGTATCGTTATTCCATTCACATATTTGCTCCAAGCCACATTGGGTTGCGGATGACCGTTCGCGCTGCACATCAAACGGACTCGACTTCCGCGTTTCACCTGTAAGATACCGTGTTGCGGTGTGATAGTGATCACAGGCATAGACTGCACCTCGATATGCGCGATGACTGACGTCGAGCCGACTTCGTTTGACGCGGAACAGATGTAGGCACCGTCGTCGTTCGCTGTGATGTTCGACAGTCTGAGGAGTCCACTAGGAAGTTGCTCGATGTTGGAGGCGAATGGTCGATTGTCTACGCGAGACCATCGCAACTCGGGCGCTGGGAAACCGGCCTTCGCGCGACACTGAAGATCGGCGGAACCGCCGAGGATGACCGTTTGTATATCTTGTGGATATAGCTCTAAAACTGGAGCTTCACGAGCTGCAATAAAAAGATAATTTGATCTTGAATTAATAAAAAATTGGAACAAAAATGAGTTTTTTATATCGATTTATATGAAAAATCAATAATTTGATGTCAATTGTATCAATTAAAAATGTGCATTCTTTTCTGATTTATATCACGTAACTTTTTAATATAATTTGAAGAATAAAAATTTATTTAATTTAAATATTTTTAAAACCCTTTTTACTTAGTCATTTGAATATAAATTACATATATAGCAGACTTAGTGGAGAATTTTGTTTTTTTTTTAAGTATTATGAACTTACGTTCAACTTCGATGATGGCACTGGCCTCGTAATTGCCTGTGGGGCCAGTAACCCGGCAGAGATATACTCCTCGATCCGAGACCTGGACGTTAATGATCCTGAGCATGTCTCCTACCTGCTGGACACGAGAGCTCATCGTTTCCGTGTACTTGCTCCATTTCACCTGTAGACCTGGGTCTCCGCTGGTGATGCATCGTACTTCAGCCACAGTGCCCTGTTTCACCTCCTGCCGAAACGGTCTGACCGTGACCAATGGTGGTTCTCTCCGAGACATTATCGTAATCCTGGCAGTGGTGCTCGTCTCCGTTCCGCGAACACTCGTCGCGGTGCACACGTATATGCCGGAATCGCTCGGGGTGGGATTGGTGATCGTCAAAATACCGTCACGTTGACTGGCGGTATAAGGCAACGGCAATCCGCCGGATCTCGTCCAGGTGACATTCACATGTTGAGACGGTGTGCAGATCAACCTGACGACATCTTCGCTGGTTCCGGACCATTCGGACGGAGTTATAGTCGGCGGTAAGCCTTGAGGTGGTGGTTTATTAGGATTATCTGCAACGTAGAATGTGAAGTCTTTATTAATAAAGCACGAATTGTAGCTGTAAATTTCAGATTAATACTATTAAATCAATGTTAATCCTTCATCTGCAATCTAGGTCTCTCTTTTGGTACAATCGAATTCGACTCTCAAATTTCTTTGAAATAAAAGACAGCGGAGTCCGCTTCTCCTTTTCTAAAATAAGAGAATTTAATAATGTGTAATAAAGATATTAAAAAATAATTTTAAATTTTTCTACATTTTTTTTTGAAAACCTAGAACAGTAAACCACTTGCACTGGAGAAAAAAGATCCAGACGGAGGATTAAAAAATAATTCTCGTATGATCTATAATAGTTTGAGATTTCAATTTCGTGATGTTCGAGATTTCTGAATGCTTTGACCGTACCTTGAACGTATAAGATGGTCGTCTTCTCGTCTACGCCAACGTTGTTCCTAGCGACGCACTTGTACTCGGCTGCATCGTTCTTCGACGCGGCTGGAAGACTCCATACGCCATTGTAGAATGTCGCCTCCGGACTCATACTTCCGTGTACTCTTATCCAATTCAGTTGAGGTGGCGGATTACCAGTGGCTTCGCAACGGAACTCAACAGGTTCACCTTCTCTCACTTGCTGATACAATGGACTTATAGCGACTCTAGGCTCTACCGGGTTGGTTCCTTAAAGAAGGCATAAAATTACGTTCTATTTACGGATTTGACACGGTTATGATTTGTACCTGGTATTTCCAGCAAGTGTTGTGGAAACGCTGCATCCAGTAATATAATGTATATTAATTAAATAACATTGAGATTTATTAATTAATCTATTCTTTAATTTGTTTCGCAAAATTTATAGTAAAATAATTTACGAGATTATATTAAGTTTGGATACGTAATACAGTTAAAATTAATAATGTTTGCGCTATACCTCCAACAGTTAGTGTGACTTTTTTATATCCAATGTTTGTTCCGTCGCTCACTTGGCAGACATATATGCCGCTATCAGACACCTTCACATCTCTAATTACTAAAAGTCCATTCGAGTCGTCCACGCTTCTATCAGGCGGTAATTGACCACCTTCTTTCTCCCATCTAATGTTCACCGATTCCTATTTTTAATCATAAAAAGAGATTACAATTATGAAAGCATTTTATAAGCCGAGTCAATGAAGAACTTACATGTTCTCTGGATCTGCCTGTGCAATGATATCGGACGGTTTTTCCTGTATGGACGATCTGGAATTCATTTTCTTGTATGTAAACTGTGATTTTCGGTGGAGATATTGGGCTCTGCGTACTAGTTGTTTGCGGTTCTCCAACTGTAAGGGAAATAAAAAATTAATTTGAAAAATCAACAAATGCGATTTTCTCTCTGTTTCTCTCATGATCATGAAATTGCAGTAGACTTGGCGCAACAATAAAACGATATGACGAGTAACAACAGAGAGATATGGAATTACTGAATTGAACAATTCTGTGTGCAAT